TAATGTGAACTTTAATTTTATTAAATTTATTATATGATTATTATTAAATATCTTTATATTATTAATCTTCTTGATTTTTTCTCTTTTTTATTAAATAATTATTATGAATGTGAATAAATTTTATCTAGGATTAAAAATATTAATACTGTGAAGATTTTAAGAGGTTATAATAACTAGAGGATGACTCCTTTTATTTGAAATTAAAAGTCTTAAAATTGAGTATTCTTTAAACATTTAAGTTATCTCAAATTTGAAAAATTATACATAAAGATTTGGATGAGTGATTGTAGCCAATGTTCAACAAAGAAAGAGCAAGAATAAGCCCGGTTAAACTTGTGTTTTTCAACTGGTGTTGAAAGCTTTTAAACCTTTCTTATTATTTGAGCTGTGGCGTGAACGTTTAGAATTTGAGTTTTAAGTGCTTTAATTAAGCATTTTAAAGGGATTTAAATAGTTTTAATTTCATATAAGAAAATTTTTAATTTTTATATTTAAAATACATGTTAAAAGTACCTTTTCATCATAAATATGTATAAAAAAATGAAAAAGATTGACAATTAAAAAAATAAAAGAGTAACCCTTCAAATACTCCGTAGTATTTACTATGGAGTTTTAACCTTTTCAAAAAAAATTTCCTTTTTTTAAATTTAATTTAGTTTAGTTAATTTTTTAATTCAAAAATAATTGAAAATTTTAAACTCAAAATAAAAAAATAATCAATTATTAAGGAGTACTAAACTAACTCGATTAATCTCTGAGGCAACTTGAAACCATTTCTCTACTCTTTCTTCCATTTTAAAAAAAAAAAATTAGTTTATTTTTACGTTTTATTTGTTAAATGAGACGGAGGAAGGATTGTGCTTGGTTGAATCATGCCTTCTATGTCCCAATAAAATGGCCCAATGACAAGAGGTCATTTTCTTGATGAACCAATAAAATAGCCGAAAGGGCTTTGTTTACCGTAAGCCCAATAGAATGGTCTATAAATCTGTTCCCTGCACCAGAACCGTCCGATTCTAGTCTCTTGTAAGTTCTATATCACAGCCGCCTGATTGGATGACTACTCAATCCATTTCCTCTCGGCATTAAAAATGCACCGGAAAGTATGAGAAGCGACCCAACAAACCCAGATCCAGATTATATCTAGCGCGCCATGGGATTAGGTTACGGTTTAACCGAGTCATTCCTTATTTTTTACAAAGTAAAAAAAAATGACCTCTTCAGGGTAATTTTAATTATTGGAGATATTACATACATAATTTTAGCTACACAACTTCATCTATAACTTGATTTGATATTAAATGAGTAATTATTAAATTTTATATATAGAAAAAGGAACCAATTATGTATGTCACATCGAGTTGTAAATAAATTTATATAATTAACGTTTGTGTATATAGCTTTTTCCTGCTTCATGGAGACTTAGAAACCTCCTAATATGTCCCGCACGTGGTGGCCTATTGGCCACCCCTTGCGGACGTGCATAGGATTAATGAGACGTGAGATCAAATCTCAGGTCCCTTCCCTAGAGAAAAACATAAGTTTTCACTGTTTAAAAAAAAAAAAAAAAAAAGAAACCTCTTAATATTAAACATGAGACTTTGTTTTCATAAAATCTAAAATGTATTCACATAATTAAAATCAATCAATTCGAATCAAATTAATACCTCCATTTTATGAATATGTTAAACTCTATTTCGTGTGATTGTGATTTTTTTTTTATTTTTAGTTTTTATAAATTTTAAAATTATTGAAAACCAAAATTAAAAATCAAAAATCAAAAATTGTTTAAAACAAGTTTCAACACTAATAACTAATAACATCAAAGAAAAAACACAAATAACTAAAACAATAAACTTTTTTAATAATATTAAAACTCTTTTTATTCTACTTTGCTCTTTATTAATCATGATAATATTTTGACAAATAAACATGAACTAAATGAGGTTTTTTTTTTTCATTTACAAAATTTAAGAAAAAAATAAAAAAATAAAAAAAAAACTACAATCATGGTAAACAAAATCTTAATATCTCTACCACTATCATATGGCATTTGAGACCACTTTCTTTTTTTAGGATCCCCGTGATTCACTTGAAAATAATGGTTCTGCATCTGTATCTAATAACGAAAAAGCTTTTAAGGCAACATTCTAGTATTTGGTTAAGTCAATCTCGACATATGTAATCTCTTTATGAATTTTTTGATCATTTGAATTATTTTACAAAAAACGAATCTGCTCCAACTCCACAGCAATTTCCATCATCCTTGGTTGCTTTTTGCCACTCAAGCTTAAGCATCTTTATGCAAGTTTAGCAACCTTTATAATTTCTTTAGTGGTAGAACTATCTTTAACTCAAGCA